AATCTTACCTCCTGTATTTATTTATATTCAAAAACACAACTTTTTTTTTAATTTTTTACTTTCACGTAAATCAACATCACTTTAATAAAGGTATTAATATTTAGTTCGCAACCATCCGCATTAATTAAATACAATGATGCGTCTTACCTGGATTGAAGAGCACCTCCCGCCCTCCCTCAATTGCGTGCACTAATCCTGTCACCACTACTCCCGGCACCACTATTCCAGAAAAGACACACCATCGACGACAATACGACCATTGTGTCGCCTCTACACGAGGAACCTCAGATGTAGAATCTACGGCGCCTGACCGTTAAGTCAGCTTAGCTTGGTGTTGGGAGTAGTGGTGCTAGGATTAGTGGTGACGGGATTAGTACACGCAATTGAGGGAGGGCGGGAGGTGCTCTTCATACTAGGTAAGACACATCATTGTATTTAATTAATGCGGATGGTTGCGAACTATATATTAAAACCTTTTAATATTTAGTTCGCAACCAATAGCAATAAAAAGCAATAATTATTATAATGAATTTCGGCAAAGTAACGCCTGATTCTATCAATATCACTATCGACCCCTAAATTTAAAATAAAATCAGTTTGAAGTGCCAACTTGTCAACTATGCGCTGCAGGGTCGCATCAAATCCCTCTACCTTTCACTAAACGTAGTGATTTATATATTTTTTTGGTTTCCACCATCGTACAACCATACGCTCGGCCAGTCTCCACACCTTTGTTGTCACACCACGCTTTATAACCAAATCATTTGCTTCCTCGTTCGTAACGCCTATAGCAATGCAGGGGAATAGTTTGCCAGCATCTATCTCTTCATCGGATTACAATGAGGGTTGGTGTCTTTAAGGTAAAAGAGGCTTTTGTAAAGCTAATTCAGTGCACTTTACCATCTTCGACCTCATTACAACTCACCATCAATTGAAGAATTTAATTAATTGAAGAAGTAATGGTGACAAACTGGCACAGTCCACTGGATACCGCAATTTTCTATTGTTTAAACTTTTGAATATAATTAAGCTCTTGTGGCGGCGCTGTCGTCGCGCCGCAAGCAAAACACACCGAAGCTTAAATCACGCTATCAAAATTCCGAATCATAAACAGCATATATAGAACATCTCCGAACTATCACACGGAGTGTTGGCCGCTCCCCGGGCAGAACACCTTGACAGAAGGGAGATCTCCCCTTTTCCTTCCACGGCCACAGTGGTGACCGCGACGTGATCTGAACACGCAACCAACAACCTTCGGAAACTATAACTTTCAAGCCTTCGTCATTATCCTCAAGAACCCCTACCATTCACTACGGAGAATCGTCTTCTGCAGTCTTCAGTTCCTGCAAGCCAGTCCAACTTGTCATCTCGACTCACCGCAGATTTATAAGGCGGACTTCTGGCCCTTGCTCCGGCACATCGTTCTCACCGGCATCACTTGCCAGTGCGTAGTACGGCATGCATTACACATCGGCATATCATTCGCACCGGTGTCACTTGCCCTTACGCACACAGCATGCATTCCCCACCGGCACTAAAAGGACAAACCGGCAATCGGACTGCACTATCGTTCACTATCCTTCGTATCGTTATCTATCACTATCCTTCCACGGCCACACTCTATTCATGGTATCACCTGTAGGCGTTGGCTGCTATCCTCATATATATCAAGCTTTACATGAGCAACTTTATTCTAGAATTTATAAAATCACTTTAATAACAATTAAAATGTTAGTTGTGCCTTGAAGATATCTTATAGGTACTCATAGTAACAAGCTTGCTATATTTATGACAGGACGCCTACACTAAACAAAAGTTACTTAGTAATTTGTTTGGATTTTTCTCTCAAGAAATTCCGAGTAGCAATCAGGAAGTTATCGGGGTCACATTCCCGTGCCTCGGAATGGGAAAGCATGTAAACCAGTTGGTCCTGCGCCTGATCTCTCTCCGATTGTATCGTCTCTATATCCCATCGGACTATAAGGATGAGCGAGTTAAGTGTTTCGCACACGCTCGCTCTAATCCTGGTTTTGCGCAGATGGCTAGTCTCCGTTGAGACTGCTCGCCATGACCGAAATTCGGTCTGAAGAACATTATTATTAAGAAAATTCTAAAGACTAAACTAGAACGTCTTACAGCCTGTGATTACACTGGCTTTCTAACCCGTTAGACTGGAACACATCAGTGCACGCAATGCTGCTTACCGTTACAGCCTATTAAAGTCCACTGATGAACATCCAGACTTCAACAGACTTCCCCCAGTGGCGAAGCTAGGGCTCCAAACAAGGACAAGCCCAAGATATAGTTTTGTTGTTTTTAGCAGTTTTATAAAAATACACAAATCTTGATCTGTCTCCACTCTTTAGTTTGATATTCAGTGCTGTCAACAGTGTTTAACAAAGCACACAGAAGGCATAGATAGGTACTACCGTTAGATAGATTGTATGACATGTAATTGCATACCTTCGGTGGCTTTGAAAGAGCCGTTTGGGTTTGCTTGAGCGAAAGAAAAAGATATTTACATACAATACAATACATAAACAAAAGAAAAGCATGAACAAAGTACAAACTATGTACAAAATTAAAAAAAGGGATGCCTGGCAGATGTGAAAAATCGAAACTATTTTGTTTAAGTTATATGCTTAGAAGAATATTATAAATCTTAAATTATTAAATTAGCCGATAGCGTGTTTGTGCGATCTAGCGTAATCTTTACGTACCATACATAACTACATAATTTCACCTACAGAATTAAGTAGATGGCGCTATTAAAATTTTATATACTGAACTGAATGACTAAAGTAAATATTCTTTAAAAACCTCAATACATGTATTCATTTAATTTATAACATTAAAATTTGGGCTTCACATTAAAAAAAAGATTGTAAAAATTATTTGCTATAAAATTAAACTTATACCTAGGTATCTCATATTTTATGCTGAAGTTCAAAATGAAATTTATAACTCATATTATGATAATATAAGTATTGAGTCATTAAACCTTTAAATACGCCTATAATAATTAAACTTAAATACTAGAGTACTGTACCTACCTATTAAAGTATGAAGAAATGTTTATTGAATTAAAATTTCATTTTTAAAGATTTTACCTTTTCCTTGCCGATCAGCACTTTAACACACTTATATTCATCACAAGGAACACTATTATCCTCCCATTTTCACTAAAAATCTATGAAAAAGCATAAATTTTTTAATAGACACAACAAAAACAAACATAACATTGAAATGTGAAGTGAACTTGCAAATGCATCGCGCTTACCCCCTCCTACCTCCTAACGCACACCTAACCAACTTCAGGGCAAAGCACGGCTTTTGGTTTCATAGTGATTGCTATATAAACATTTCGTAGTTATATTTCACTATAGAACATTTTGCCACAGGTTAGAAAGGGAGCGATCGTCTTCTCGAAAGCCCCGTAAAAAGCCAACGCGTGCGAGAGAGACAACAAAATCAACTCCTTGCTTTCATTAATTTTGACAGTCCAGTATATTTCGAATTAAAACTGCCAAGTGTTGACGTTACATACTACATGCTACGAGGTCATGCCCTGCGGAGCGCGCAGGAAATTTGAAATAGTTTGAAACACTTTAAGAGTTATTTTATTAGTTGATATTTTTGATTGAGCAGTTTTATAGAGCAAGCCCTGCTTCTGGGCTTCTATGGAGGCTTCGCCACTGGCTTCCCCCTATAGATTTTCTCATAAGGGGATAGTTACCACACTTGGCAAGCATCCAGCAAGACCCATCAGACTGGAAAATATCAGTGCACGCGTTGTTGTTTGACAGCAGAAATAGATAAATTACGAACCTAGACAGACTGCAAAACAACAGGTTTACAACGGTTAATTTTGGTGTTTTCTTCCTTTTTGTATAATAAAGCTAATTGACTAATTCTAGGAACACATTATACTGTAAGATAAACCTCCTTACAGGTAATCTTTATCGACCAAACGTGAATTAAAAATATTAATATTGCAATAATTTTGAATTTTCCAGGTAATTAAAACGAAATCATTATACATTTTTTTTATTTACTACCAACTTTTGTTAGAGTACATGGTATAATTTCATACAAAGTAGCACCTATGTAAATTTATTGCAGTACATAAAAAATAATTATTAAATATATTTTAATAAATATAATAAACTCTTGAAAACATAGAAATAAGGAATGATAAATTTGGAATAAATGCTTTTCTGTTGTACTATTTCGTAATTTATTTTGTAGAATAAATGCATTAAAATATTTTGTAATAATTCAAGCACATAAGCAAATTGTTACTTAAATGCATCATGTTACATTTGCTCACTTGAAACACAATTTTACGATATTAAATATTATTTAGTAGACTATAAGACTATTTGACATAAACTATAATAAATAAAGTCAAAAACTTAATATTAAAAAAAATGCTTACAATTAGCTCACTGGATAACACTTTGGTATATATTTTTTGGAATATTATAACTTTGGTTTAAATAATCGATACATACATGACTATTTTTATCACCTAAATAATAAACGTTAAATAAATAATTATGGCAACTCAGTAGGAACGTTTTGAAATGTTCAATATGGATTTTACCTAAATAATGGTAACTTGTGCCACACTGGTTTGGTGAAGTTAATAAATTATTGCTTTAAATAATAGATAATGATGCCTCATTAAAAATGCATAATAAATAATCTAAAGGTTTTGCAGAGCGTTTTAATTTATTCACTAAACTAAGAACAGTTCATATTCATTAATATAAGAGAAATTAATTCTATCCATTAACTTAAGTCCTCTTTGCAATCCACGGACGTGTAGGAATGTGCAACTCATTATCTTACTTTTAGCTGCTTCTGAGTTATAGAGTTAGTATATACCTATATTTGTTACTAGTTAATTATTTATAAAAAAGATATTTTGTTTATTACCGTGTTTGCGACTCTGCAAAACCTTAAAAATTTGTATCAAGTCAATAATTCTTCATTTAGCTGCATTTAAAACCGTCAGGGTTATTACTCTGCCATCTCCAAGTGTCCGCGCACATATCCTCTAACGTCTTTATCGCACGCCAGCCCAACAGCCTATGTGAGAGGGAGACGTCCGCATAGTTCGCAGCTATGTCTCCCTCGCGTCTGCCAATGATCTTGTATGGAATTTGACGACCGCACGCCACTTCGAATGCCTTCACCATTTGTAGAACGGAGTATCCTGTGCCCGTACCTGAAAAATACACAGTTGTTTTTTCACAAAGAATACCAGCGTGAAGTAGAGGTGCACCTCTGCGTTTCGCTTGGTAAGTAAAGGGGCCAGCCAGAGGCCCAATTCCCCCCCCTCCCTCCCGTAACATGGTAGCGGAATCAAATAGAAAATTACCCCAGAAGGGTACCAGCACCCCTCCTTGATGACGGAGAATCCTTCATAGCTATGCTACTCTTCCTGAGCGAGGGTGCGGTGGTGCGTCGGGGGTGGGTGGAAGGGTGTGGGGGGAATCCGCTCGCGACTATAACTGCTCGGGGCAATAAGACCAAGGCGACCTCTATCACGCTATCCGTGACTTTTTGCAACATCAGGAGACTGCATTCTAACATTAACGCTGTCCACTACCATCTGGAGACGGCAAAGCCGGCTTTGCACTTTTAGAAAGAAATCAGTTATCGACAATTCGAACCGCTCTGTGCTAGATGCTAGCTAGTATCGGAATCCTCGACGTCGACATATCGAATCGTGTGCAGTTTCGTAGTCACTTTGAAGGGAAGGCCAAATTGGCCTTAAAAAAAGCTTGGCGTGCTAAGCAGACCGAGACAGCATTTCTTGCAACTTTACAAAGCGCAATTTCGGCTTCACATGGAATACTGTTCTCATCTCTGTGCCCATCAGCTCCTTCCACTTGACCGCATCCAGCATAGAGCGGTTCGAATTGTCGATGACCGAGTTCTTTCTAACCGGCTCGATTTAATCGCGCTGCGTAGGGATGCAGCATCTCTTTGCGTTTCCTATCGCATCTAGTACGGGGAATGCTATGAGGAATTGTTCGGATTAATTCCAGCCGCTAAATTTCACGAACGCACATCGCGTCAAAATTCACGACACCATCCTCACTATCTGGATTATTGGCGGTCCACCACTGTGCTTTTTACTAGTAGTTTTCTTTCTCGTACATTCTTCTCTTCTCTGTGGAATTGTTTACCACCGGCGGCTTTTACGGACCGACATGACTTAGCGACCTTCAAGAAAAGAGCTTTATCTTTTCTAAAGGGCCGGCAACGCACCTGCAACTTCCCCTGGTGTTGCGGTTGTTCATGGGCGGCGGTAGTCACTTACCATCAGCTAAGCCGCCTGCTAATTTATCCCTTATTGTATCATTTAAAAAAATACATTTTTTTGTAGCAAAAAAGTAAGTATATCAATGTAATGAAACATTGTTGTACAATTGATGTATGTAAACTGCCTGCATACAGTAAAGCACTAGTGTGGGGTAAGTTAATAAATAAAAAATACGGACCGGAATTACATTCTTCGAGTAGGGAACAGCTGAATTGAACTTCTCAGAATTATAATAGGAAGATTTTCTTAAGGTTTTTTTTTCGATTCCTCAAATGAAGAAGAGGAGAATCTATCACCCCATTTCCATCCGTGGCTGTTGTAAGCCGCGACTGTGGTAAATCCCAAGGCGACCTCCTGGTTTCTGATAGTTGTTGGTACAACTCTCCCGTGTACGTCAGATGTTACGTCTGACACTGCGATTGCCTGAACGTTTGCCAAGCGTGGCAGTTAAGACAAACTCTCTCTACAACTCATGTTCAGCAGACATGTCCTCTCCCGTCCAGAAGAAACTTACCCAAATTGACCGCATGGAAGCCACTAAAGCCGGGCTGGTGGAACAACTTGATAGCCTTAACGTGGCCCTCGGCCAGGTCTTCCACGTGGATGTAGTCCCGAACCCCAGTACCATCTGCTGTAGGGTAGTCATTGCCGAAAACCAGAAGCTCTTTAAGACGACCCACGGCAACCTGGCAAAATATTAACATATTAAATTATATTTCAGTTAAAACTTTAAGAGTGCCTGACTACCGACTCACGACTCCTGAGCTTTAATTCCAATTGGAACTGAAGATTCAAATCGTGTTCTATATGTCCTGGTAGATGTCCCGGCTCGAAAGGTTTTTTATTCTTTTTTTATTTAGGGACTTACGATATTTTTAACATGTTAGTCCCATTGTATCTTATAACTAAACAACACAGTGCAATTTATTAAATTACTTACACAAAATTCTAGCTAAATGATACACCATTTGAGCAGCATTTGACAGTGGTTCAGAGAGAATGCTTTGATATTCACCTATGCTACATATTTTTATGTCAGTTTTGGCGACTAGTAGTTTCCTTTCGTAATGGTTTTTGGGACATTCCGCGAGCAAGTGTTGTATCCTAATCTTATCTTCCATTGTGTTGCATGTATTGCAATTTGGAGATTGTTTCATTTTCATCATGAAAGCAAACTTGTTACACGGAATGTGTCCGGAACGAAGTCGCATTGCTAATACAACATATTTTCTATTCAATAGACATTGATTAAACCAAGACACTTTCGGAGGTTGACTCTGGATAGTTTTGTACCATATCCCTTTTTCTTGCGACCTTTTAGGTTTGAAACGTTGTATCTACGTGTTTCAATTAGTGAATAAGTTATTTCGGTTTCTGAATTATAGATAGTAGCAGTATAGTGTAAATAATCTATATTATGTCTAAAGGATATAAAGAGCCAGTATAACCTGTGAGGCACAACATGCTTGGAGGTTACAAAACATATGTGACCTTCTTTGTAAAACTACTTACCATCAACTGAACTGTAAATTCGTGTATCACTTGTTTTATAAAAATAATAGTAATTCAAACATAATTCTAACATATCACTCATGAGACGACAGAGGAAATTGTAACAGATGTACAACATCATCTTTCTGATAAGAACTCAAAATAATAAATAGTAGCTTAATACTATGGTGTTTCGTATGGTGAGTCTTGAGACCATCTTGGTCCTCAGGAACGACAGCGCATCTGCATTTTGATCCTTAATCAAGGATAAATGTAGTTGTCTATGTAATATAATAATTCAAACAGATCTATGAGTCACAGCATCCACTTACAATCAGGTGGAATGTGCTCGTTTGTCACACGTTTCTATAAAAAAAAACTATGCCATGTCCCCCCTACGAAGCAATCTCTGAGGCCCATGTTTAGTGGTAGACTTTGGATAATCTGTAATGTATTAGTAATTAATAAAATACCTGTGCTATAAAAGGCATCAAGTTGTTGGGTATTCCCGAGGGATCTTCTCCGATACGGCCGCTATGATGCGCCCCCACCGGGTTGAAATATCGCAGAGATATAACCATCCATTTCTGTGTGCAAATATTTATATTATCAACCATGAACGTTAGAGAACAGGAGAACGATCACTACGTACTAAAGCATAGCCCGCCTGTCCTTGAAAATTGTAGAATGTATAGCGGCGCTGACGTCGGTGAGTAGTGACTGCGAAGTTAGCTGTTTATGAGTACAAGTAGGTGAAGTTAGTTGAATATTGTACAAATTTTCATTTCTTTTTTTCATAGAAAATTTTTATGCTCCGTAATTTTGTAATTTTTGACAAAAAGAAACATTAAAAAATGGAGAAATATTTTATTGTGCGTGGATGTGTAAGTGGTTGAGCATCTGATCGGAAAAATAGACTGAAAATGACTTTTATTGACTGAACTTAGCGATCGCAGCGCCTCACTTATGGTGTCCATATTTCTGGGACACTATTTTCTACGGCGATTGTTCTCCTGTTATCTAACCTCATGTTATCAACTAAATAAGTTTATTTAAATAAGTACCAGTTTCAGTTTAAGTATAAAAGGCACTAGACATGTGTCAATTATTCATTTCTCGTGAACGAATCATTCTAGTACATTTCGTCACGTGTACCGGTACATTCACGGATAAATCATTCGAGATTCAGTCGGTTTTCGACTCATTTACAATTCACACCAACCACGAGTTAAAAAGGTTCCCTCAATCGTTTATAATTGGTTGTCCCGGAACATTCAAAAAACAGATGAATGAACCATCAATACTTTTGAAGTGTACCAGCTCAAACGAACGAATCATTCATAATTGAAGTGGGTCTGAGGGGGTACAGACACTACCCTAATACGTAACACGGGTCGTATTATCGACAGTGGTGTGTCTTTCCTAGTGTAGTGATGTTGGGAGTAGTGGCACTGGGATCAGTGGTGACGGTTTATAGTGCATTCCATTGAGGGAGAGCGGGAGGTGCTCTTCAGAACTGGGTATGTCACAACATTTTAATTTTATTACGCGAATCTTAGCAAATAGGTTTTTAAGATCTTTACGACAGCACCATTTTGAAGCACTGCTAGGTAAGACAACGTTGGAATTTTTTTTTGAGTAGAATTGGATTTCAAAAAAGTCCGTTTCTCTTAAGCCCATTTCCAGCTACATCCATTTCTTATCCCATAGACAACTTCATGCATCGGCATTTCATAAAACAAAAAAGCAATAGGAATAGACAACATTACTTTTTAACCGTTATTTTTGCATTGGCATCAAATTAAGAAAATGTTAAATTTTTATATACTTAAAAATACTTGTAACAAGTATTGAAAAGTTGATAACTTTCAAAAAATAAACATTGCTCAAATATAAATTGAACTTTAATTTAGTTTACGGACTTCGTATGTTCTTGGAAGATTTTTATTTCTTACACTCTCACAGAATACCAGCGTAAAATAGCAGCTTAATACTGTTGTGTTTCGTATGGTGAGTGTAGAGAGCCGGAGATCTTTTTTTTTACTGAAAACGAAGCATTCCATCGTAGTCCTCAGAGGTGATAACGCATCTGCATATTGATTCTTAATCGAGGATAAATATAGATGTCTATGGGCCACAGCATCCATTTACCATCAGGTGGACTGTGTGCTCCTTTGTTAACCTTATTCTATTTAAAAAAAACAGGTTTCTCCACCATATGTTCCTTCACCTCCAAAATCATTGCGAAAAACATTTAAAACAGTGATGAATATTATTTTTTAAAGGATAGGGTGACAAACGAGCACACAGTCCACCTGATGGTAAGTGGATGCTGTGGCCCATAGTCATCTACATCTATCCTCGGTTACGAATCAAAATGCAGATGCGTTGTCACCCGTGAGGACTAAGATGGAATGCCTTGTTTTCAGTAAAAAGGGTCTCCTGTTCTTTACACTCACCAACGTATTCTGCGAGAGTGTGGTCCTTCCCCGGTCGAGCCTACCTATTCGTGCTACAACCACACCAGTTATAAAGCTGCAGCATGGCTCTACCACGTAAAATTTTCGAAGTATGAAATTTAAGGTTACCATGGTTCTTATGATCGACATGTACTTAATATCATATCGGCTGACCTATATCAAAACCGAGTAAAGACTATAACTTAGTTTTACAGGAGAGCATAAAATATACTCGAATATCGAGGTAATTCGTGATAATTTTTAATTATACGTTATATTAGATTTAAGTATTTAAGATATTAAAGCTTCTAATTATTTTTAAAGATTTAATTTACATTCATTATTTCTGTAAAGGAATAGCCTATGTAAATTTTTTTTTAATTAAAACATTTTTTTTATGTCACTTACTGGATTTTGATATGGAACAGCCAATATACAATTAATTTAAAACTTAAAGCATAGTGAAGATTCTTACCTTATCGCTCCTGCATATATCCTTCATGATCTCTTCGCAGAAGTACTTGGACTTGCCGTAGGGGCTGGTTAGACCCTGACCTGTAGGATGGTTCTCGTTCAAGGGTAGCTTCTCCGGTTCGCCGTAAACAGTACACGAGGAGCTGTATACTAGTTTGTATACGCCGAATTTTCGCATAATCTATAAAATCGATGTAAATAAGATATTTAGGAAGGCAACAGTTTCTTCCTAAGGACAATTAAAAAGTAAAAAGCTGCGGTTGCCAACCTAAGTAAAAACGCCAAGCATGGCAACTATGACAAATATCCCACCTATGGGGCAATTTATGAGGGGGACTGTAACTTAAATTTCTAATGTCTTAAAATTTTTAACTTTTTGACAGATGGATTCCGTATATTTCCTCATTCTACTCGTATCCTTTGTCTCCTTTTTAACATCCTACTTATCCCAAATTTCCCTACATACCTTCGAAATAGATCTACCTTTCTTAAATCCCCAGATACAGTTTATAGACTTTACCTTAAAACCCTCTTAAAATTCTCATCCTTTAAAGCTCATTCATATTCCAGTTCATTCTTCGTACACGCAGTAAGACTCTGGGATTAACTTCCTCTTCCGATACGAGAAATCAAATCAGCGACATTGTTAAAAAAACATTAAGTGAAGGAACATTGTTTTGATTAAAATCAGTTAAGTAGTTTGAGAGTCCATCGCGGACAAACAACATAATAATAATAATAATAAGATACATACCCCATAATAATAATAATAATATTCCACAACCATCACACAACGCCATCTAGTCCCAAGCTAAGCAGAGCTTGTGTTATGGGTACTAGACAACTGATAAACATACTTATATATTTCTAAATACATAAATATTATAGATAAATTACACCCAGACACAGAACAAATGATCGTGCTCATCACACAAACATTTGTCCTGGGTGGGAATCGAACCCACGACCTCCGGCATAGCAATCAGGGTCACTAACCACTAGACCAACAGGCCTGTCAAAGTGCACATTTTATTATCATTTATTAATTATATATCTTCTATCGTAACTGGCCTACTGGAAGAAATTTCAACATGAGATAAGTAGAGCCCTTCTACAGACTTTTCATCATGATGTGTGCTCTCCCACTCTTCCATCTGAAGGAAAAAAAAGAAAAATCTTTCCATGTGAAGGAATTACTAACTTTTTTGGAGTCGAGTAACTGGTGTTACTACTGACTGATATTTACAGAAGATATATCCCTATGATGGTAATACGATTTAGTTACATAAAAAATATTTTATATTAAAATATTTATTATATAGGGCCTGCACTCACAGACGGCACGGCACGGAAGGATTTTTTTTTCGTGGATAAAATATTTTCGACGTTATTTTAATGTTCTTAGCACTTACATTCCTTTATTTCAACACGAATAGACCGAAACGTCTCGCGTGACACCGCGGCATGCTGCTGCACGTTACGGTATTCCATGGGATGCCGCGGCACGCCGCTGCATAGCGTAAAACGCATAGGTTACTTTATGTTGTTAAATGAATGTGAGTGCTAAGTAATTGAAACAAGGTTGAATCTAGCCGCGAGCGCCCGGTAAACGAGCGCGTCTTGACTTGTTTGGCATGCCTCTTAAAATTCCCATCCTTTAAAACTCATTCAATCTCCGTACACGCAGTAAGACTCTGGAATTCACTTCCTCCTCCCATTAGAGAAATCAAAACACCGACATCGTTCAAAATACGAATGAGAGCTACGGGAAGCCACAGGATCCTTCGGCATGCCGAAATATGCCTTGCTATGCCGTGCAGTCTGTGAGCGCTGGCCCTTAGACTAACTTCAAAAAGCGTGCAGGTCCCGGTTATGTTCGCCTGGTAGTATTCGAGTGGCTTCTGTACAGACTCGCCCACCGCCTTCAGCGCTGCGAAATGAATGACGCAGTCGATGTTGTGCTGAAATTGAAATATCAATGTCTGTATCACAAGAAAATTTTATTTGTACACAATACATATCTACGAGTTAGAAGCAGGCTAGCGTTATATCTGATGATTAGTAAAAAAGTATTTTAAGGCGATTATTTATGATTTTAAAAGTTCACTCTCTCCGCAAGATCGCACTGGTCATCTGCTATGTGCTCATGGAAGGGTAGCATCACATTTGGGCACCGTAATGCATTGGTGGTCACCGAGTTGCTCTTCATGATGAAATTTGTGAAGGTCAAATTTCAACTGAAAATGTTGCTTTTAGCAGAGAGACTATGACGAGATTTGAGATAATTTGGGTATAGGTATTGAGCCAAAGTTAAAAAAGTCCATTAATATTTAAGTTAGAAAACTTTATTTTCGCTGGATTCCTCATGAACTCACCCCAGAACAAAAACGGGTTCGAGTTGATTGGTGTTGTTAAATTATGATCCCAGACGTTCAAATGCTGTGTATATGGTATTGTAACTTGGATATATTGTCACATTCCGGAAAGATAGTAACCGTCTTTCGTATGGGTGTTCGAATGCAACAGCAAACCAACGAAATTGAGGTAGGCAAGAAGCGTGGTCAAAAAAATTATTGCGTGTTTTTTCTTCCAGACGGGTCGTCAGATCGGGTCTGTACGATGTCACTTGATGAGGGGCCATTCATTAATTATGTAAGGATGATTTTGGCGATATTTGACTACCCTTACTCCCATATAAGGGCACATAAGATTACTCAAACCACCCCCCACCTCCATCTTCTTACGTAAGGTTCTATCTCGTTTTAAAAAAACGTTAAAAGAAAGTGCTATAATTATTATCAATTATAACATTTAAAATGGATGAAAATAAACACATTTAAGATTTTAGAAATTTTAATAAAAAATAAGATGGAAATCGAAGTGTATATTATAGAATGAAGAAAACCATTCGGCAAAAGAAATGGAACTAGATTTCTAATATTAAATCTCGACTAATAAAAGAAAATATTACGTAAGAATGAGTTTTACACCCTGCCCGTCAAGATAAGGTCATGTAGGGATTTTTTAACCTCCCCTTCCTATCGGGACACACGTAATTAATGAATGGCCATGAGCAAAAGACAGTTAATGCTGAGAGATAATTTACCATTTATTTGTCTAGTGTCTTTGAAAAAGTTAGGGAAGATATGACATGACTAATGCTTCAGCGCACATCACGAACTAGACAAAGTCATTTTAGTAGCTCACATCAAGCGATTTCTTTATTCTTCTAAAAATCCAGGATTTGAAGATAGGTTTGACACTTACGGAGCCAGAAGAGGCCGTGATAACTTTCAACCAGCAAGTGAAATACCTTCCCAATGACGCTTATCTTCTCAAAAATGGGTTGATTAGTTTACATATAAATTGTTTTATTTAAGAGGTACTCAAAACTTTCAGTGTGCGCCACGTAATAATTTACTTGTAAGCTACTTACGTTCTCGAAAACCCTGCTTAAACCCGTCGCGTCTCTAATATCTACTTCATAGAAATGTATCGTTTTGTCGGTCATTTCCTCAATGATCCTCAGACACTCGGGCTTTTTCCGTCCTTCGGTTCGGTACGCATTGCTGAGGTTGTCCACCACCACGATATCAAAGTCAGTAGCGTCTTGCCGTTCCAGTAGTGATGCGACTGTGTGTGAGCCAACGTAGCCAGCTCCGCCGGTTACCAGTATTGCAGGTTTCATGATAGGACTGGAAAGATTTTTTTAACATAATTATTGGTATACAATAATATATGGAATGGAAATGGTTAAGGTAATATAGAAATGCCAATCCGCTTGCCAAGCGTGGCAACAATGGCAAATATCCCCCTTAAGGGGTAATTTATGGCAGGTTGTGTTATATTAGGTCGTAACGGTAATAAAGAATGAGGTGATCGCTATCAAGCTATTTCTAATTTGTTTTGTGTTGTTAATTGTGTACTGGATGACCTTTTTTAGCGTCTGGAAAAAAATAGGGTGTAACATGTGAACTGAGTAGAAAAGCCTATGGCACTGATATTTTACAAAAAATCAAAACAAAAAGTTGGAATTAAATAAATTAATTAATTAAAATCTAAAAGCAAAGTAATTGTTCAAAATTTTTGTTTTAAACGTTTAATTCAAAGTGATAGCTTTATTTTTTTGTAAAATATCAGATAAAAATATAGAATAGATATAATATAAAATAGATAAAATATAAAATAGAGTGTAGGTAATCTTACTTTTCCATACGGTAAGAAAGGTCATCCAGTGTATGATCGTAAACTGTCGAATTTTTTCAAAAAAAGTCCCACTGGGTTTCCTGCTGATTCTTAACAGGAGGTATTTTCCGAACTAGTGGTGAATTAACCATAGACATAAGAGACTTTCAATGAGTATTATTTATAATCTATATTGAAAAAAAAAGTTTATATTTCTATGAACATCAGAGTAGTAAAGAAAGTGGGGAAATATGTACCTATCTGGAAATTTAATTTTAAATGCATTATTTTTTTATAAAGCTGAAGTACAAACGAACGTACAGTTCACTGGCTCCTGCAGTCTATGCACACTTGCAGGCAACGTCAAACAAAGAAGGCTATACAGATGCGTTGTATCCTCCGAGGACTAAGATGGAACTCACAGCCTGTAGTTATACTTGGCTGTCATACACTACAAATCAGAACACAGCAGTGAACGCACTACCATTTGGCAGCAGAAATACATAAGCGGTTGATACCACCTAGTAAACAGTGCTATGTGCGCGAGATAAAAATAAGTACACAAAAGTACCTATAATTATTAAAGTACCCACTGGATGACATTTTTCACCGTCTGGAAAAAATAGGGCGTAAAGTGTGAGAGCTGTAGAAGCCGTAATATTTTACAGTGGGTTGCCAAATTATTAGGGACAGTTAAAAAAATGTATTTGTCAAGTATTTGGCTAAATTTAATGAATAAAACAAAGGCTTTTTAATGTAACTACGTTTTTAATAATTATGACAATATCCTATAATGTCATAAAAGATATAAGAAATATTATAAAGTAATTAAAAATAATTAAAATTAAATTAAATAAGTAAAAGATGTTGTCGAATTTTGCTGGTCAGTATTTTGGAACATTTCCTTTGACTGCAATTAGTGCTTCTATGCGTCTGGGCATACTTTCTATGCATTTTTAGCGCTTTCTTTTATTCTAGGATTGTGATGCCAAACCTCTATTAGCTTTTCAATCAGTCTTACCTTGGTGGTTATCATTTCTTGGCAATTTCTGCTTTAGTGGTCTCCCAAAGATTTTCTATGGTGTTCATATCAGGAGCATCGCCAGGCCAAGGTAAGACTGGAATGTTATTCTCTTCTAGAAACTTGGTGACACTTATTGCTTTGTGGCAGAGTGCTGAGTCATGCATAAATGTGAAGTTCTCACCATCAGGGAACCATTTCCTGAGTGTTGGCAACAATCGATTTTGTAACACTTCTTTATATTGGTGTTGTCTCATGGTCCCCCGGACAACGTAGAGCCGTCCAACACCCTTGGCACTTATGACTGACTACATCACTATTTTGACAGCATGTTTCACCCTCTCTACGATACAGTCGGGATGATATTTTTCACCTGGGCGCCGTCTGACGAAGCTACTTTTGTCGGCCAAAATGTCAAAAGTTGATTCATCGGAGAAACACACCTGAAAAAAAATAGAAATGTTGAATAATGTTATTGAATATAATGGCAAAAAGAAAAAAAATCAACAGAAATAAGGTAAACTGACCTCAATTGTCATTTGTCGATGTTCCCGAGCCCAAGCCAGTCGCTTTTTTTTCATTGCTTCAGTCAAGCGAGGTTTTTTTACAGAATGATGACCTGTTAATCCTTCTTCTGCCAATCTGCGTTGCACAGTTCTTTTGGAAACTGATATTCCAGATTCTTGGACTAACTGAGTTAACAGGCTAGCACTTTTTTTCGGTTTTGTAGACAGATATCCCTAATTTTTCTGTCTGAACGTGGTGTTGTGATGCGCTTTCTCCCACTGTTGCCTTTTCTCTTAGGCGACAGGGGCTGATTTTTGTCCAAATTAATTTATATTCTATTAACTACTGACTTGGGAACACCAGCACTATCTGCTATCTTCCTTTGGGAGTGAGTGGTGTGCTCAAGAAGGGTTTTAATTTCAGATTTTTTCCTAGGAGACAAATCACACCCCTTACCCATGCTGGAAGACGAAATAAATAAAAATTATCAAAATTATTCAACAAAAATATTTATATAATAATAAATTATCATAGCACTTACATTTTGACACAATTTAAAAGCACAAATATAAAATTTACTTTGTTTGAAATCTTCAAATCCGTCTTTCACTCTATCGCGTATTAAGCATAATGCGGCTCGCACGCTATTCAAATTTTTTTAAAAATATAATAACAAACCACATAAATCTCAAAATCTACTTATTATGTTAGCGAAAGAAGCAGGTCAAACGATATAATAAATTTCATCTCCACTCTAACCACTTGAACTGTAGTCAAGTGCATCCAAAGTTAGAAAACAAGAAAAAAATTGATTGTCCCTAATAATTTGGCAACCCACTGTACTTTTTAATTAGGATCTATCGAAATTCAAATCATATCCACCATACTTTACGAACGGCAATAAAACTATGGTGTGTTACGCACTCCATAAATAAAACAATAAATTTAGTAGGCATGTTTGACCTTGTCGTCTCGCAGAGTTACAGGCTCAAGGTCAAAGAGCAAAAATATTCAAAAGTATAATTCAAAATTTTTGTATTTTTTTTTTTTTTGTAAAATATCAGTGCCATAGGCCTACTCCGTTCACATGTTATATTTTTCAGACGGTAAAAAAGGTCACCAGTATACCGACTAATAAGGAATGGCGATAGATATAATACTCAAGTTAAAGTAAAGATCGAGAATACGTTAAAATGCTAATTTTATATTTTTAAAATATTTAAAGGTTTACTCATACTTACCTTTTTTTTACTTTTTAATCAATAAGATCTAGAATATTCTTTCAGTTCTGTTAGTAATGTGTCCTAACACGTTATCAGTACATGTGTTGAAAACACTTCTTATGAATAGTTGACTTATTATGTACACTTTAAAGAAAAACAATGTCAAACATTGTGCAGATAAAACAATACGGTTATAAATACACATATGTGATTTTATGCCTGTATAGACTACTTATTCTACATGTTGAACGCATGTATGTACTTGTACATGTCTTGTTTAAAAAATAATGTATAGGAGGTATTTATTACTATGGCTGTGTTGTTAACTCCATTTTATGTTTTTTTTTGAAGTGAAAACTGCTTTAGTATCGTTGTCATTTGAAAATCGATGAATCGAAAAAGCGACACCAAAAGAGACAAACATATATACATCTATAGGATTTAGCCTACGAGAGAATGAGACAGAATACAGTTACAGAGTTTACTATAAATTTATTTATATTTTATTTATATAAAACGTAAAATTATCCTACTTCAGATCTCTGTATTCGTCTCATTCTCGGGAAGTTTAGTTTACTGAAGGTTTCACATCTGTGTGAACTGCACACACGTTTTTTTTATACCTGCCATAGCATACGCCTTGTATGTCTTTTGTAACATTTTTGATGAAAATGAAAGTAAATAAATAAATAAAACTAGCTTTACTAGCTTGCAGCACTTCCTACCTAGGAGTCCGTTTAAGAAAGGTACCACCATTTTACCTATTACAGTCAACAAAATAGCAGCACTTGCACTGCTGTGTTCCTGTCTGAAGGTTAAATATAGCCAGTACAAATTACATACAGTTAAGCATTTTATCATAGTCATTTGACATTGGATGTGACAATCCATCTTTAGCCTTCTTTCCATCAGGTGAACTGTAAGTTTAGTTGTTACGACGTTGTCTTGTCTATATATTTTTGAAGCGGCGAAATTTATAAAAAATAATATGTACCTATTATTTCACACAAGCCAAAGACATCTACAAACGAGGCACTAGAAATAGGAATAGGTTGGTTTCCACCATAATACCCAAGAGCGCGAGATTCCATAAAAATTGCTATTCATGGTCACTCCATGTGTGACAGTATATAATAAGATACCACAAGAAATTCAAGACCTACCTGTCATTAAATTTAAAAGAGAATTATACAAATGGCTCAGTGAAAAGGCTTTTTATACTGTAGAGGAATAATTAAACTACGATATGTAATAGCAACTAGGCTGATATGAATTTACTGGACCAATTGTGAAATATTTATTAGGTACCTATTACCTATTTATTGATTAATTGTTGACATTTTGTTATTTTAGACATTTTACTCATAAATATTATTATCGCATTATTTTATATTTTTAAGATTTGCATGCCATTAATAACGGCTGATTAAGCGGATGTTTAATTAATACCACCATCTTCAGTGTACCTTAACCAAACGCAAATAAATATTTCATTTCATTTCATTTCGTTGTATATACTGTTACGAGCTTGGAGATCGAGACAATAAAAACTGCCATAGTTCCAGAACCTTTTAGTGTAGAAACATCTAAAATGTTCGAGTACATAACGGTGCCGACTGACTAGGTGTCGAGTGTTCTAGAAAGTTCTAGCACGGAAATCTATAGAAGGATCTTGACTCTCCTAGTCCTGCTACTCGATACTAGGAGGCGCTATTAGTAACTAGTTTCGCCAGGCATTAATTGTGGTGAGCAACAATAT